CAATCGATTCCTCTCGTCGGGAAAAGCTGCAGGTAGGCTGCAGGCCGTGCCGCTCCCAGACGAGGCCTGTTAGGACCAAATTACCTTATATAGTATTTGTAACGTTACAGTTTCATATGATTCCCCATTTTCTACCTGTGATTCCCTAATTCTTGTGTGCAGAGTTTCTGTACTCAACCAAATGTGCATGCTTCAATGTTAGAATGTGATACACCAAACCGAGGTAGTGTAAGTCGGAACGAGGGAAACTCGAAACATGGTAGCGTGTGAACGTGGCGAAACGCGGTCATGGGTGTAATGATGATACAAGACATGTAGAGTTTCCTTGGATACTTCAATCGTTACATTGAAGTTTCGTATACTTGTGGAGTAGCAATTTGTAAAAAACTACCCAAGAGTTACGTAAATGAGTTAAATAAGTTACGTTAAGTTACATGTATATTTCTGTTGTACGAAACCGTACGAGTAACGTTCGCCGATGAACCTTATCTTATTGCAGTATTGTATACTTGCGAAGTAGCAAATTATAAAAAACTACCCTGGTCGTTTCACACTTGGCGTTTCTGTCAGCATTGAGGATGATGTCGCTACGCACAACGTTGTGTTTGACGATGGGCATGAATGTGTCCCGTTCAAGATAGGAGAAGGCTACTCCGGAGCAAAACGGAACGTGAAGAAATGCTTCGTGTGCGTTAGTAATACGAACAGGGGAACTACCAAGTACTGTTCTATTTGTCTGGTGCCGGTCTGTGCCACAAACAGGGAACCCACAGCCCTCACGTGCTGGCAGCTGCTGCACACACCTGAAGTTCAGCAGCGATTGTGGCAGAAAGCCGTAAATCGCAACATCCGGCAGGCAGCTGAGTCACCGTCGATGAAGCGAAAGCGCGTCTCGGCTTTGAAGAAGAAAGTTAAACTGCGAGCCACTAAGTACAAAGAAACCAAAAGTAATTGATTCTCCATAACATATAAGTAGCTTGCTTACTTCCGGCACACATATCCACCGCACACAACCTACACTACAGAACTGCATTTTGCCAGCGCAACGACCCATTGTGCTGCCTCGGATTCGCACTGCAACATGAGTCATGGACATGGACGTTGTGACCCCATTCGTTTCGAGCACTTTCAGGGAACACATACACTACATTAAAGAACTACCACTGGTCATCTGAACCGCCTTTGTACTGCCACAGATTCACTCTACAGCCTGAAGTATTGACATGGATGTTGTGGCCCCTTAGAGCCATCCATTTTTAGCACTTCCAGGGAACACATACTCTTCACATATATACTACATTAGTTGAACGAGCCATTGCGGTGCCTCAGATTCACTCTACAGCCTGAGTTATGGACATGGACATTCATTCCAATCGTATGCACTTTTATTCTACGGTATTCCTTGTCACCATCCGATTGTATATTACTAGTACCCCAGAATTCGTTCAGCTGTAGTGTCGTACCAACAATTCAGATGTAATGCAATTCCCTTTTTAAGTACCTTCATGCGCATCCACCTCACTCGAGACTCTACCTCAACACATGAGTTGACAGGTGGCGTCTGTTCTGTGGTTTTCAGCAAAATTTATGTGGCAGGAATGTGAACTCCTGTAGCGGCGCATACGCCTCAATGACCTCGGCCCCATCAGCAAGCTGCTCGGGATGGAGATCGACCGCGACGAAAAGAACAAGTCCATGTACGTCACCCAGAGAACGTACATCGAGCGAATTGACATCAAGTACGGCATGGACAAGTGCAAGCGCGTCGACACGCCCATCCCAGCCGGCACCAGCATGGTCGATACCGTTAGACGACGACAAGCCTTTCCGGCAAATCGTCGGCTCTCTACTATACTGCGCCATGTCCACGCGCCCCGATATCGTGCATGCCGTGACGCAGCTCTCCCGCCACCTGTCGACTCCGCACCAGCTGCATATGCTCATGGCCAAGCGCACCGTCGCCTACCTGCTGCACACCTAGGAAGTCGGCATCACGTACTACGGCCAGCCGACTGGCAGTAGCGAACTCATTGGTTTCTCGGACTCCTCATGGGCCGACGACCGACCCACCGGGCGCTCAACCTGCGGATACCTTTGGATGTTAGCAGGTGGACCAATCGCTTGGAGATCCTAGCTCCAAGCCATCGTCACGCTCTCCTCGACCGAAGCAGAGTACGTCGGCGCATGCCTCGGCGCCTAGCACGGGATGCACCTCGACAATCTCATGAACGAGCTCGGACTCAAGGATAACGGCAAGATCGTCACCCTCTACCTCGACAACAAAAGCGCCATCGCCATCGGCTGTAACCAGTCTAACGCACCAAGCACCTAGCATTGCGTTTCTACTTCTGTGTGTGACCTAGTCCGCGCCGGCAAGTTCAAGCTGGTCTACCTCCCAACGAACGTCATGCCTGCCGAGTGTTCACTAAGCGCATGACTGGCGACAAACTGCGCGTAGCCATGCGCTTCATGAGCATGGGAGGCTATTGCGGTTTCTGCTCATAGGCGCATTACTAAAGGCGCATCGGGACGAGACGTTACGACCGCACGACATTCAACGGCCAATCAAGTCCCATTATCCGAAAGTACACTGTAGATACATGGCATACAGGACTGCATATCAGGTTACCCGGCTGTGGTTATCAAACCACTGGCTGTTAGACTCCTAGTTAGCTTAACCCTTAATAACTCAGTTGTAAACCCTTACTTCCTCCTACTCTTTCGTCCCTATCGCGGCATACGGCGACCAAGACCTGCAAGCAAAATCAATAACACGGTCAGACGATACGGAAGCATTGCTGTCAAGGTCGTGTCGATCCAGTGTACCCTACACAGGCTTTATCTTGGGGTGGACGGCACGAATGGTGTGCGTCAGGCCGACATACCCCATGACGACAAGCACAGCCCACATAGCAGGGTGCGCCTGAAATTTCTCGCCGTTGTCGTTGACAGCACCTTCCTCAGGGCTTTTCGTCAGTGCACGGCGTAGATGTCGTGACGGTTGCGGAAGATCATCAAGTCGGCCTCAGAACCAGGTTATTGAGGGCTCATATTGACCATCAGACCATGAGGGGGTACTGACGCTGCGATCTTGAGACCGTACAGGTTGTGTTTCCCACTAAAGTAATGTTTCTGCTCACCAAAGCGGCCAAAGGACGGTGCACAGGCTGGAATTTGACGTCCGTTGCATACTTTGCGTATAGGTAGTGAGCGAAGGTGTAGCCTTGGTCCTGCAGAGTTTTCATGGAGGGCATAGTGACGAAGGCCTCGTAGAGAGCAGGAGAGACGAAGTTGATAAGACGGATGATTATCTTCTCCAATATCTGTGCATTTAGGCTAAAGTCGACAGCATGCTTCTCCCATGTCTGGTAGTGCTTCAGGAAGACAAGCGTCATGAAGAGGGCGTCCTTTGGTGTCATCGTGGGCTTTCTCCCCAGACCGTCCATCCACCGCACGCAGAGAGGTGTCGCAACGAATCCCCAGATTGTCTCAAACTCCGCCGGCGTAAAGCTGGTTAGGGTGCGGAAGCCATCAGGGCCACT